TACTTAATTTTTGTCACCTGGTCGTAGAATTCTAGTAAGCCAGTCAGGCAAGATTTACCCTCCCTAAACCCATGTTGGCGATTTGTCACGAAGTCCCTTTTCTCCATATGTGTTACTAGATTTTTTCTCACGATCTTTTCCATCACCTTGCATAGTATACAAGTCAAGGACACTGGGCTGTAGTTCAGTGCTTCTTGTCTGTCACGCTTTTTGTATATTGGGACCACATTCGCCGTCTTCCATATTTCTGGTAGGTCTCCCGTCTTCAGTGACCTACTATACACTATGAAGAGTGGCAAACAAAGTGCCTCTGCACACTCTTTCAGTACCCATGGTGAGATCCCATCTGGACCAGCAGCCTTTCTCATATCCAGATGCAACAGGTGTCTCTTGACATCATCTCTCGTATTTTCAAAACCTTCCAAGGCCGCCTGGTTCACTTCCTCCTCTCCTAGCGCAGTGACCTCACCGTGTTCTATTGTGAAGACCTCCTAGAACCTCTTGTTGAATTCTTCACACATCTCTTTGTCATCCTCTGTATACCTGTCCTCGCCTGTTCTAAGTTTCATTACCTGTTCTTTCACTCTTGTTTTCCCCCTTGATGTGACTATGGAGTAGCTTTGGTTCGGTCTTGGCTTTGTTTGCTATATTATTTTCATAATTTTTCTCTGCTTCTCTTCTCACACTAACATACTCATTCCTGGTTCTCTGGTATCTCTCTCTGCTTTCTGGTGTTCTGTTATTCCGGAAGTTCCTCCACGCTCTTTTGTTCTGTTCGTTTGCTTCTACATATGCCCTATTATACCATGAATTCTTCTGTTGCTTCTCGGATTTTTCCTTTTGGGCCGGGATAAACCTGCTTACTGCCTCCTGACACTTTTGAGTGACATAGTCCATCATGTCTTGTACAGACCTAGCTCTGAGGTCTGTGTTCCATGGTATTTCCTTTAGGAAACTTCTCATCTCCTTATAATTTCCCTTTCGGAATGGCAGCCTTCTGTTTCCTAGTTTTTTTTGGGGGAGATAAATCCTAGCTCTACCAGGTACTCAAAGATCAATATACTGTGATCACTCATTCCCAAGGGTGTTTCCAAATTAAATTCCTTTATATCCCACTCATTTAGGGTAAATATCAGATCAAGCATGGCTGGTTCATCTTCCCCTCTCATTCTTGTTGGTTTTTTTATGTGTTGGCTTAGAAAGTTTCTTGCTGCCACGTCCAGCAGCTTAGCTCTGCATGTATCTGTTCCTCCATGTGGGTCTCTGTTCTCACAATCTATCTTCCCATGGTTGAAGTCTCTTTATGATTAGTAGTCTAGATCCATTCCTGCTAACAACAGAGTCTGCTCTCTTTATTATGTTAATGGTGGCCATGTTATTTCTATCATATTCCTGTCTGGGTCTTCTGTCATTTGGTGGTGGATTATATATGACTACGATTATAATTTTGTGTCCTCCAGTTGTTACGGTACCTGCTATGTAGTCACTGAAACCTTCACAGCCCTGAATATCCATCTCCTCAAAATTCCAGCCTTTTCTTACCAGTAGAGCTACACCACCCCACCTCTTCCTTCTCTCTCTTTCCTCACAACACAGTAGTCCTGTGGGAACACTGTATTTGTTTTGGTTTTCGTTAGCTTTGTTTCTGTGAGTGCTATTATGTCTGGGTTTTCTTCTAGTACCCATTCTCCAAGTTCATTTGTTTTATTTGTAATCCCATCTATGTTAGTGTACATTGCCTTGAGACTCTTTCTTTTGTCCCTTCTCATGTCCCCTTCTTGGTGAGTGTTCTGCTGATGGGGAAAGCTGTTTCAGGGGTGTGAGGATTTGTGAGGTGGATAACAGGGTTTCAGAGGTTACTGGAGTGAGGGATGGAGGGTCAAGTGAAGGTGGAACAGGGAGGGTATGGGATGAAGGGAGAGAGAGGACAGGGAGGGAAAGGAGGGGGGGAAAGGGGAACATGGTGGGAGTAGGGGAGGGGATGCAGGGTGGGAATGGGGTGAGGGGGGAGGGAGAGTTGGCTAAACATTTGAGTGGGGGCAGGGAGGGTTCTTGTTATGGGTGAATGAATTCTGATGTGTGTGTGTATGTGTGTGTGTGGTGGTGTGTGTGTGTGTTGTGTGTGTGTGTGTGTGTGTGTGTGTGTGTGTGTGGTGTGTGTATGTGTGTGTGTGTGTGTGTGTGTGTGTATGTGTGTGTGTGTGTGTGTGTGTGTGTGTATGAGTGTGTTCGTGTGTGTGTGTGTGTACATATATGGGCCACTCTGCGGCTGCAGGCTCGGGACTATGGTTGGGTTAACGCGGATCCCAGGAATGTTAGGAGAACTAATACACTGGAAATCAAAACTCATCTCAACATATAAACACATCACCCGACTGTCTTGCTGTCTGTCTGTGTCTCTCTCTGTCTTTGTGTCTTATGTATCCTTTCCTATCTCTATGTCTGTCTGCCTGTTTCTCCGCCCTCCCCTCTCTCTCTCTCTCTCTCTCTCTCTCTCTCTCTCTCTCTCTCTCTCTCTCTCTCTCTCTCTCTCTCTCTCTCCTCTCTCTCTCCTCTCTCTCTCTCTCTCTCTCTCTCTCTCTCTCTCTCTCTCTCTCTCTCTCTCTCTCTCTCTCTCTTCTCTCTCTCTCTCTCTCTTCTTACTAGAACTAGTGTTCAGTAGTGTTGTCCAGTGAGAAGTCGCTAGTGAAGCTGCTGGCAAGGGCTAAACTACCTCAGTTCATGTGATGCCTGCCCCAAACATTTTGTATTGGGTATATTTACATACATCTCTGATTGGTATGTAAATCGCTCATGATGAGTCAGTAGCCATCTGCGTGCCAGAGCCTTCGTGAGATAGTTTGACCGGTTCTCTTGTATATCCGCCTGTTCAGTGAACAAGTTCCAGAGGCGGATTGGCCAAGGAATGTGACCGATGATGCAGTGATGTTCTTGAGAACGGCAGTTCAAGCCCGAGACTATTGAAGGTTGAGAATCTTGTGTCACGCGTGCCAATACTGGTTGTCCACGGAGTTGGGCCAGTTGCACAACTTTGAGAATGTTAGCCTTGTACAGAAGAGTAAGATCACCAACGTCACGACGGTATTGCAGACTCTAATGTTCAAACCACTCCCAAATTACTTGGTTTAGACTAGAGATGAGTCTTCTTGCATTGTCAAAATTTCTGATGCATCATGGAGCTCAGACAATCCAGAAGAAGGGTTCAGACACAAGATTGGAGCGAACCTGTGCTTTATATAAGTTGTGTAGCCCCTGCTGTTCAGGAGGTGTGAGATGAGCTGTTGGACTGTTAGTTTCTTGCCTGACGTTTGATCTAGCTTATGCACGTGGGTCTTCATTGTCATTATTCATACTTCATGCCCATTATGTCAAGATCATTTCTGAACTCAATTTTTGTTTACAATGTGATTTACAATGTGCAGTTTAGTTATCATTATCACGTGAGCTTTCTATTTCATGAGTTTATATAACTCTCATAAAGGAACTATCAAACTGCAAGTTTGAAATCGGTGAAACTGGAAGCAAGAGCTGTAAACCTGCCTCAGCTCATCTGAAACCTACCCCTAGAGGCTCATTTATTTAATGAGTCTATTACATGCATCAGTAGAAATAAACTTTATTCTTTAACAACATTAGGTAACAATCATATAAGGAATAAGATGAGCCTGTAGCCAACTGTATGCCAGAGCCTTCATGTGATCAGTTGACCTGATCTCCCGTGTATCAACCTGTTGAGGGAACAAGTTCCAGATACGAGTCAGCCTAGGAGTGAATGATCGCTGATGAAGTGATGTTCTTACAACCTCTCTCTCTCTCTCTCTCTCTCTCTCTCTCTCTCTGGTCTTGGTCTTGGATCGACCCTCGATCCAAGACCAATCACCCTGCTAAGTCTTGCCAACTTAGCCTCTAACGTCTAGCTCTAAATAACGAACCTACAGACATTCTCTTTCACAGAGATATAGATATTCATATACTTGAAACACAAATGTTATCGCATATTTCTTATCTGAATCCGAAGACCGTGCCAGCTGTGTTTGTTTTTCCTCAGGTCCCTGTGAGTGTTTCTGGCGGAGGAAGTCTAGCCAAATATTATCTATGCATCCTCGTGTTATCTTCCCTCCTGTGTTATCGTATGTTACTACGTTTCTCGAACTAGCAATTCTGTTATTATTCTTTTTTCACTTTTGTGTTATTAATCCTCCTCTTCACTCTCAATCGCATTTATCCTTATCGCTCTTCATGTCCTTATTCTTTCAACATTCTTATCTTTCACTCTCTGTAACTAATATTACTTTTTATTAATCCTACGTTTCATTCTAGCTCTTCACATTTAGCCATTATTTTGCTCTTCACTCTGTTTCACTCAGCGTTCACTTCACTCTCTTAATCTATGAGATTGTTCTCAGTCTAAGAACCGTCCAGTCGATCAGACTTCTGCTGTATCAGGCGTAGTATTAAGAGATAAATGATGCAATAAGGAACACTTCCCAAGGTTTTCCATCATCGACTTTCCAGGACTTTGCTCTCGTCCCTGCCTCTTCTCCTAATTTTCTTACTTCCACTTTCCTCTTTTTTTCTTAATTCCTCTTCTCTTGTTCCCCCTTCCTTTTCTCCTGTCCTCTTCACCGTTCATCTTTCGAGTCATTCTCGCTCTTAAAATCGCATCTAATAACCTAATTTTATCCCTCACTGGGTGCAGCGTGTCTCTGTCTTCACTCTCCCTCACTGAGTCCCTCTGGGAGCCTGGGTGAGGGACGGAGGCTGAGGAGGAAGGGCATGAAGGAAGGGGTAGAACGGGTCAGACAAGAAAATTAAAATAAATAAAGGGAAGGGAATTAAGGCATTGAGGTTCAAGAAGAGAAAGGGTCGTGAATTCTGCAATAGTTGAAGGGAAAGGAGGTCAGGTAGGAGAGGGAGGTTTAAGGGTCAGCACAACTGGAAGGGAGGTTAGGTAGGGAGGATGGAAACAACGTTGGAAGGGTTTGAGTTGAGGGGTAGAGATGGATGAAGTAGAGTGGGAAAGGGTAAAGTGGATGAGTTGATAAGTTGGATGAGTGGATGAGTTGATAAAGGGTAAAGTGGATGAGGGGGAAGTAAAGAAGGATAAGGATTTGGGTTATGGCAATGTGCCGGACGTCTCCCTCTGGTGAAAACTCAAACCTCATACATTCTTCAAAGTTTTATGTAGGAATGTTGATATATTTCAAACTTATTGGACATAATTTTGTATTAATTGTTATTCATTTACAACTTGTTTCTGTTGGAGCATTGAGGATGTTTCAGTAACTAACCTGTTACCAAGAAAAAAGTTTCAGTTACCAAGGAAAAAAATCGTTTTTATGAAACCTTGCTCTGATATTGCTCTGATATTGCTCTGATATTGCTCTGATATTGCTCTGATATTGCTCTGATATTGCTCTTAAAGTGCAGGGAAATCATCTATTTGGCGGTCACATTAAAACCTTTTAATAGTGTGTTTTTCTACAAGGAGAAACCAAATTTCGGGAATGCATTTTCTGAATGTAAAATACAGTAAAACAAGTCAATCTCTTCGGCATTGGAATAACTAATGGTTGGAAATTAGGGTGAGTGAAATAACTTTAGTTTTCTCTTGATCTGTGGCCATATCTTGTGCCTTGTACAAGATAAGCTGGGGCTAGATTCACGAAGAAGTTACGCAAACACTTACGAACCTGTACTTCCTTTCTCAATCTTTGGCGGATTAGTTTACAATTATTAAACAGTTAATGAGCTCTGAAGCACCAGGAGGCTGTTCATAACAATAACAACAGTTGATTGGCAAGTTTTCATGCTTGTAAACCGTTTAATAAAGTTAACCAAATTTGTCAACGAATGAGGAAATATGTACACGTTCGTAAGAATTTGCGTAATTGCGTAAATGCTTCGTGAATCTGGCCCCAGGAGCGTAAGCTTGATGAACTTTTTTACCTAAACCGGACTGCTTGGTGGTTTATATGTAAACTTGGACTTGCTTCAGTACAAGCCTCCGGACTACCTACGGATTCTGTGGAATAATGTTTAATTTTAACAAGTTGTGGTACAGGGGGTAAGTTGGGCCTCGGGGAAATCCTTGATCACTGGCTCCTCGTTGTTCAAATTGATTATCCTGGTATTTATTATTCTGTAAGTGATGAGTGAAGAAATCAAGAATCTGAACAAATCTACAAGGGCCGTGACAGGGATTCGAACCTGCGTCTGAGAGCATCCCAGACGCTGCCTTAATTAATGGCCCTTGTGGATTTGTTCATTTGATGCATCACGCAATTGTGATTTCTGTGCGTAATCCAGAATCTGCTTGGAAACAGGCAGGTTGTCACCTATCCCTATCCAGCATAACAAATTCAGAATTAATGTTGCCGTAGTGCATTAATACATTCACACTTTTATCCATGAAAACAAAAATATGTGTTGGAAAGTTCAGGAATTTGACAAATGGTAAGAGAATGGTTACTGTTCTCTTAATATGGTAAGAGATTCTCTTTACATGGTATGGTTTCTCTTACTTTAGATTTATGTAGTAAGGTTTATAGTTTAGGTCTATAGTAAGAGCCCTGTTGTTTGTGAAACACGAGACCTCCATCAAGGAACATATAATCATCTCTCACAACCAGACCATCACCAGAGAAATCTTAACAAGCAACACAGAAATCATCGATAGATGCAGTTTCTATTTATTATAATTAATTTTGACGTTATGGTTGCATCTCTTCTTATCAGTCGGTAATGTGACCACCCCTACGTCCATCTCTCATCGTCATTTATTTTTTATTTCCACTTCATTAATTTTTTACTCAGTTTTCTCCAAATACTTTTCTTACCCTCTTTTGGCCGAATTTCCAATCATTCTAATCCTTTTCCTTCTTTCCGTCTCATGCGCTAACCATTTAAGATTAGACATTTTTTATTAGTTTTTTTTCCACGCTCATGATCTTCCCACACATTCCATCTTTTTTGGTCTCCTTAAAATCTAAATTTCCAATTTCCTTCTCAGCACGCTCACCCCGTGAGACAACTCACGCTGCGGACATTATTGCATGTGTCGTACGCCACTCGCAGATCATGTTAGCAGGGGCTTGAACGCCCGGACAAAATGACCTGTCAACGGGATATTGACGCAGCAGAAGACACCTTACTACTAAGACTTCGTCAATGTTTGCCTGCTTGTCATCATCGTTGCTCTCTGCCTCCTTACTCGTCGCGTTTATGTTCTAAGACTCTGTTGTGGTCCGCGTCATATTTGTATTTTGCCTTAGAAGAATTTCACCATATTGAGATAAAGTGACTAGTTAGATGAGTTCCAACAGACACTAGATGGAGTGTTCCAGCAGACTCCTGTGGTGGTGTGTTCAATCAAACACTTGGGTGATTGTGTTCCAGCAGACACTAAAACAAAGGCTTGCTAAATAGCTAAATATTTTTAGAAATAAGCTTATTTTAGAAATAAGAAATTTAGCTTATTAGAAATAAGCTAAATAGCTTATTTCACTAAATGACTTGCTTCACTAAATAGCTTATTTCACTAAATGACTTGCTTCACTAAATGGGTGGCTTCACTAAAGCTAAATTTAAATTGTGGGTTAAAAATGGTTCGTACAGGACGCATGGACAATGTTAATTATGTTATGTAATTCCTTAGCATTACAGCATTACTTAAAAATGTAAAATAGTGATTAAACAATGAATAATTGCGAATATTTTCAACTCAATAGCTGATAAGGCATGACTTTGGGAGTGATGAACTCAGGGGATTTACTGATGTTCAACTCATAAGTTCAACTCGCACAGGAATGATGGTGTGAAGAAAGTTTAAACAAGAAATATCTTCTGTTAAGATATTCTGCATTTTTGGAGAGTCAATATGAATTAATGTATGAAAAGATTAATTGATGGGTAAGCTAAAGAATGTGTCTACGATATATTGAGACTTTCCGCTTGAGACGGGCATGCCATAGAACGGTTCTAGTTTTGCGAAAGAATTGGCAATTTTAAGCAGGCAATGAATCAGATTGGATTATGAATCATGAATCATGTTATGAATCATGAATGACTTGATACAACGTGATACTGGGCGCATCTGGATGTCTTTTATTAACTTAATTCCTCTCTAAATTGCTGAACACACTCCGAAAGCCTCCTGATTTGAATTTTAAGTTTTGAAGTCAATCTCTAATGTATTCAGTATTCCTGTAGAGACTGCTTCTGAACTTTATTTATTGTAGTCCAAAATGTATTGCCTTTTTTTAAAGTACACTCTGTAAAGCGGACGTGTCCATGGGTCTTAAAAGGTGTGTTGTGAGGGTGTGTTATGAGGATGTTTTGACGGTGTGTTGAGAGGGTGTTTAGTAAGGGGGAGGTTGTGTTGTGAAGGAATTTTGTGAGGGGTGCGTTGTGATAGTGTTTTGAGGGTACATTGCGATGAGGTTGTGTAGTGAGGGGTATGTTGTGAAGATGTATTGTGAGGATGTGCTCTCAGTGTTAATGGGAATTTTTTTTGTATGAGGCTGAGGATATGCTGGGAGGCTTTGAATATTACAAGCAATCTCCCTCAGAGGGATATATCTGTATTTTATAAATTCAGATATACAAAAATGACTCTTTATGATAGAAGATAATATTAAATGATTTTCCGGAAGTCTGTTAGGCTTATCGCGGTCCCCCTGGGTCAAAAGATAACAAAGGCTGGTGCCAGAAGATAACCTTGAACAATTGCCAAACTTCTGAGTGCCCATTTATTGTTAGATGAACTGAGGCATTAAATTTAAAGAAACGTGTTCAAGAGTCTTCCTTTCGGAGCGGGAGTCGAACCTAATTCCTTTCGTAGCGGGAGCCGAACCCAATTCCTTTCGGGTCCGAAACGGATTCGCTGACCACTTTGCAATAACTGCATATGGGATTAAATAACCCCAGTTATCCTTGCAATCCACATCGTTATTTATCTTTGCGGCTTCGCTACATGTTACCATTACTACTCCACAACTACATCACTCACCTCTACAGCGAACTCGCTGTATGTTGACAGCCCCTTCACCACAACTCTTACTCTCTCTCACACAACAACGAACTCACTACTTATATAAAACACAACGCCACAGCTCTCACTATCAGAACAAACTTGTTACATTTTGCGAATCATTTACCCAACCACTTGGGCTGGATGGTAGAGTGACGGTCACGCTTCGTGCAGGTCGGCGTTCAATTCCCAACCGTCCAACTGGTTGGGCACCATTCCCTCACCCTCATCCCATCCCAAAATCCTTATCCTGACCCCTTCAAAGTGCTATATAGTCGAAATAACTTGGGGCTTTCCCCCTAAAAATTCCTTCCCTCTCACCACCTTCTCTCTCTCTCTCTCTCACAACAGCTGACGTACACCCCGAAGACACTGTTGGACTACGGCTTCCTACTCTGCTGGGCGACAAACTCGGTTGGTAAACAGCGAGAACCCTGCGTCTTCAAGATCTTCCCAGCAGGTGAGTGACAGGACTAATATTGTCTGAGATGGATAACATTATATAATATATGAATATTTGACTCGAATGAAAATATCAGAATTTCATCAAATGTGATTGAACCCCTAAAGTGTTTTTGTTGTATAATTATTAAGTTAGTAATTTCCTAATTACGTATCACACTCGTAGCACCTCACATAAGTTGTATGTGATTGTATCACCTCAGGAAAAAAAAAAAATACAATATATGAGAAATGTTGGGCTTTATATGTAAAATTGTAACTGATACGATGAAGCGGGGAGAAAAAAAAAGTCCCATAATAGCGAGGGTACAAATAACTTGCTGGATCAATGTCAGATATAATGGATGCGTAAATACATTTCAGAGTTTCATTTGTATATGGAAATTTTTTTGAGTTTCATTATCAACAGTACTTTGCAAGTTAAAATTGTACTCTTGCTGTACAGTTATCGGTAGCAATGTGGGAATTCTATTTTTTTTTGTCATTGAAAACTATTGTGTCCTCAGTCACACGGTTGGAAGAATTATGTTTTGTTGAAGCGACAGTATGATTTGGTGTATGATTTATAATCAGAATATAATCATCTGCATATGTTTCCTTTTCCTATTTGTTTCACGATGTAATCGAAATAGATGTTCCATAGGTATGAATGCGAGAGTCACAATAACATGGCTGAAGTTTGTTGATCAGACCACACACTAGAAGGTGAAGGGACGACGACGTTTCGGTCCATTCTGGACCATTCTCAAGTCGATTGTGCGATATCGACCCATATTCCATGGATATGATCTAATCATACTACTCTAGAGTATATACCCACCTACGCGGTATGTTTGCAGGTGGAGGGATGGAATTATCAGGGAAAGACGCCAAAACATTACGACTATATAGCACATGGAAGGGGGTCAGGATAAGGATTTGGGATGGGACGATGTTGAAGGAATAGTGCCCAACCACTTGGACGGTCGGTGATTCAACGCCGACCTGCATGAAGCGAGAATGTCAATCTACCTTCCAATCGTGCAGGTGGAATGATTATTTTGGACACCCAAAAACGTTTGGTTACTTTAGAGAGTTTTCAATGAGATGCAAAAGATTCCCATCAACTCCAAGTTCCTTGAGCTTACTCCCTAATCCTTCATGCAAGATGCCCTCAGATCCTCCAGCACTCTCATAGGCTGTAAGATGTGTATCCTCTCCACAGTTGTTGGTTACTATGGAACCATCCCTCATGTTCTCCCCTTATCTATAAATCAAAATTGCTTGTAACTTACTGAGTAGCTCTTATCAAGGATTTTTTCGTAAAGTTTACCAACGACTGATAGTAAAGATATTGGTTAATTGTTTTCTATTCATGTCTTGCTATTTTTTTTGTATGGATAGGTACAATCCTGGCCTTCTTCCAGCATATTGGCCAGTTTAGTGGGCAACTTAGTGGGCAACTTAGTGGCCCAGCTTAGCGGCCAGCTTAGTGGCCAACTTAGTGGTCAACGTTAGCTTGCAAAAAGCTAGCGTTGACAAAATCAAACGACGCCTAATTTGCATATTCTTTTTTTTTTTAGCTCACAAAGGCTGAGCGCTTTACGACATTCTAAGCAATATATAAAGAAAAAATATACACCTATTTTACTTAGGTTCTATGTAAAACTTACTCATACTGCGATTACATTATAACGAGTCGTACTGTAGCTCCTGGTTCACCATCGACGACGAGTAGACGTCCGGGCACTTCCTCCATCTGACGTGGCGTGACGTCTTCCTCAGGGTCTTCCTTAGTCATGTGTTCCTATCCAACCGACCGGAGAGTTGTGACGCCTGGCGCACTGGCCACGGGGAAGTTGATAGATTTTTTCCTTCCGTTTCCTGGCTGGTTCCGCGAGCGGAAGGAGGAAGGGTGTCCGGCGCCTGTTTGTGTGAGAGGTGTCGGGAGTAGGTGGGTCTTGGTGGGCTCTCGGTGTTCCCTCTGGGGGCGTGGAGGGCTCCTGGTGTTCCCTCTGGGCGTGGAGGGCTCCTGGTGTTCCCTCTGGAGGGCGTGGAGGGCTCCTTGTGTTCCCTCTGGGGGCGTGGAAGGCTCCCGGTGTTCCCTCTGGGGGCGTGGAGGGCTCCCGGTGTTCCCTCTGGGGGCGTGGAGTGCTCCTGGTGTTCCTTCTGGGCGTGGAGGGCTCCTGGTGTTCCTTCTGGGGGCGTGGAGGGCTCCTGGTGTTCCCTCTGGGGGCGTGGAGGGCTCCTGGTGTTCCCTCTGGGGGCGTGGAGGGCTCCTGGTGTTCCCTCTGGGCGTGGATGGCTCCTGGTGTTCTCTCTGGAGGGCGTGGAGGGCTCCTGGTGTTCCCTCTGGGGGCGTGGAGGGCTCCTGGTGTTCCCTCTGGGCGTGGAGGGCTCCTGGTGTTCCCTCTGGGCGTGGAGTGCTCCTGGTGTTCCTTCTGGGCGTGGAGGGCTCCTGGTGTTCCTTCTGGGGGCATGGAGGGCTCCTGGTGTTCCCTCTGGGGGCGTGGAGGGCTCCTGGTGTTCCCTCTGGGGGCGTGGAGGGCTCCTGGTGTTCCCTCTGGGCGTGGAGGGCTCCTGGTGTTCCCTCTGGAGGGCGTGGAGGGCTCCTGGTGTTCCCTCTGGAGGGCGTGGAGGGTTCCTGGTGTTCCCTCTGGGGGCGTGGAGGGCTCCTGGTGTTCCCTCTGGGCGTGGAGGGCTCCTGGTGTTCCCTCTGGGCGTGGAGTGCTCCTGGTGTTCCTTCTGGGCGTGGAGGGCTCCTGGTGTTCCTTCTGGGGGCGTGGAGGGCTCCAGGTGTTCCCTCTGGGGGCGTGGAGGGCTCCAGGTGTTCCCTCTGGGGGCGTGGAGGGCTCCTGGTGTTCCCTCTGGGCGTGGAGTGCTCCTGGTGTTCCTTCTGGGCGTGGAGGGCTCCTGGTGTTCCTTCTGGGGGCATGGAGGGCTCCAGGTGTTCCCTCTGGGGGCGTGGAGGGCTCCAGGTGTTCCCTCTGGGGGCGTGGAGGGCTCCAGGTGTTCTCTCTGGGTGTGGAGGGCTCCTAGTGTTCCTTCTGGGGGCGTGGAGGGCTCCCGGTGTTCCCTCTGGGGGCATGGAGGGCTCCAGGTGTTCTCTCTGGGTGTGGAGGGCTCCTAATGTTCCTTCTGGGGGCATGGAGGGCTCCAGGTGTTCTCTCTGGGTGTGGAGGGCTCCTAATGTTCCTTCTGGGGGCATGGAGGGCTCCTAGTGTTCCTTTTGGGGGCGTGGAGGGCTCCCGGTGTGTTTTCTGGGCGTGGAGGGCGCCGGATGTGCCCTCTGGCCATGGTGGGCGGCACGCTTCTGCTCTGCCGGAAGGCACTAAAAGACGTTTTTGCATTTTTGTGTATGAGTTTGAAAGTTGTCAAGTTTTTGCCCTGACTTTGTTTGGATACCCGGTGTTCCCTGTGTGGGGTGGGTTACCGGTGCCTGGTACCCGGTGTTCCCTGTGTGGGGTGGGTTACCGGTGCCTGATACCCGGTGTTCCCTGTGTGGGGTGGGTTACCGGTGCCTGGTACCCGGTGTTCCCTGTGTGGGGTGGGTTACCGGTGCCTGGTACCCGGTGTTCCCTGTGTGGGGTGGGTTACCAGTGCCTGATACCCAGTGTTCCCTGTGTGGGGTGGGTTACCGGTGCCTGGTACCCGGTGTTCCCTGTGTGGGGTGGGTTACCGGTGCCTGATACCCGGTGTTCCCTGTGTGGGGTGGGTTACCGGTGCCTGATACCCGGTGTTCCCTGTGTAGGGTGGGTTACCGGTGCCTGATACCCTGTGTTCCCTGTGTGGGGTGGGTTACCGGTGCCTGATACCCGGTGTTCCCTGTGTGGGGTGGGTTACCGGTGCCTGATACCCGGTGTTCCCTGTGTGGGGTGGGTTACCTGTGCCTGATACCCGGTGTTCCCTGTGTGGGGTGGGTTACCGGTGCCTGGTACCCAGTGTTCCCTGTGTGGGGTGGGTTACCTGTGCCTGATACCCGGTGTTCCCTGTGTGGGGTGGGTTACCGGTGCCTGATACCCGGTGTTCCCTGTGTGGGGTGGGTTACCGGTGCCTGGTACCCAGTGTTCCCTGTGTGGGGTGGGTTACCGGTGCCTGGTACCCGGTGTTCCCTGTGTGGGGTGGGTTACCGGTGCCTGGTACCCGGTGTTCCCTGTGTGGGGTGGGTACCAGTGCCTGATACCCGGTGTTCCCTGTGTGGGGTGGGTTACCGGTGCCTGGTACCCGGTGTTCCCTGTGTGGGGTGGGTTACCGGTGCCTGATACCCGGTGTTCCCTGTGTGGGGTGGGTTACCGGTGCCTGATACCCGGTGTTCCCTGTGTGGGGTGGGTTACCGGTGCCTGGTACCCGGTGTTCCCTGTGTGGGGTGGGTTACCGGTGCCTGATACCCAGTGTTCCCTGTGTGGGGTGGGTTACCGGTGCCTGGTACCCAGTGTTCCCTGTGTGGGGTGGGTTACCGGTGCCTGGTACCCGGTGTTCCCTGTGTGGGGTGGGTTACCGGTGCCTGATACCCGGTGTTCCCTGAGTGCGGTGGGTACCGGCGCCTGCAGCCATAAGGAACATCCCGTACATCTTCCTAACAGTATGGTTATTCGCCCCAAGGCGCGCTCATTTCCGTCTTGAGGCGACGATATTACAGGTAGAAATCTTTGCGTTTTACCCATTAAGGGAAGGCTCGACTAAATATGGTACCATTGTCATAGTAGTTTATAGATCCAAAATAATTACATTGTAGAGCATATATAAAGTTTATTTCCTAAATTTAACATTTTGTTTTAATTATTTCATCATTATACTTGGCAAAAGCATAATTCCTAATTGATTATTATAATCTCACGTTTGAACTTTACATATTTCAGAAACTTTTTTTTTTAGGGAAATGAAACCAAAGAACTAAAATATTATTTAATGTAGATATTTACATTGTTAAAAGTATTGCTAGTCATTTAAAAACGTTTACAGTAATATAAAATATGAATAGGAATTATTTGTATTGAAAATGGACCAATAATAGCAATC